AATCAAATGTTTTGCACAGTCAATAAAACACAAGTAAACATCTTTCTGGTATTCTTTGCTTTGAGCCAAGATCCATCTGACATCAGCAATGATATCCCTCGTTCCATGTCCTCTTCTGAATCCAGTTCGTATTTCTGGAAGTTCTCTGTCAATATACTGCTGCAACTGTTTATAATAGCTGATCCATTTACAATAGCTACCCCCCCCCCAAAAAAAATACTTGGGAATAAATCTTACCAGGGACACAAAAGACCTGTACAAAGAAAACTATAAAACACTACTTCAGGAAACCATAAGAGATCTACATAAATGGAAGAACATACCATGCTCGTGGATAGGAAGATTGAACATTGTGAAAATGTCAGTTCTACTAAAAGCAATCTATACATTCAATGCAATCCCAATCTAGATCCCATCAACATTCTTTTAAGGATATGGAAAAAACAATCACTAACTTTATATGGAAAGGAAAGAGACCTAGGATAAGCAAAGCATTACTGAAGAAGAACAAAGTAGAAGGTCTCACACTCCCAGATCTCAAAACCTTCTATACAGCCACAGTAGTCAAAACAGCCTGGTACTGGTACAACGACACACATAGACCAATGGAACAGAATTGTGAACCCAGAAATAGATCCATCGACCTATGTTCAGCTGTTCTTTGACAAAGGGCCTAAATCCGTTATATGGGGAAAAGACTGTCTGTTTAACAAATGGTGCTGGCAAAACTGGATATCCATTTGCAGAAAAATGAAACGGGATCTGTACTTCATACCACATACAAAAACTAACTCCAGGTACATCAAAGACTTAAGTGTGAAACCTAAAACCATACAGTTACTCAAGGAAAAACTAGGGGCAAATTTAGGGGCCCTACTATATGGTATAAATAGACTTTCAAGCATAACCCAAAATTCACAAACAGCAGATAAACTAGATGAATGGGACCTTCTAAATATTAAATTTTTATGTGCTTCCAAAGACTTCTTCAAAAGAGTCAAAAGAGAACCTACAGATTGGGAATAAATATTTGGCAATGACATATCTGACAAGGGACTTATCTCTAGAATTTATAGAGAACTCCAACACCTCAATAACAAAAAGACAAATAATCCAATTAAAAAATGGGCAGAAAACATGAATAGACACTTTACCAAGGAGGATATTCAGGTGGCCAACAAACATGAAGAAATGCTCATGATCATTAGCCATGAGAGAGATGCAAATCAAAACAACAATGACATACCATCTCACCCCAGCAAAGTTCAACCAGACAGCAAATAACAAATGCTGGTGAGGATGCAGAGAGATTGGGACTCTCATACACTGCTGGTGGGACTGTAAAATGGTACAACCACTGTGGAAAGCAGTATGGCGACTCCTTCAATAGTTGGAATTAGAAATACTATTTGATCCAGCAATTCTATTAGTAGGTATATATCTTAAAGAAGTGAGAACCAGGACAAGAACAGATATATGCACACCCATATTCATCGTAGCACTATTTACAACAGCCAAAAGACAAAAACAACCTAGGTGCCCATCAACAGAAGAATGGTGTGATAGTTGGAGCTGTGTGTCAACTTGACTGGACCACAATTCTGTGTGGTTTAAGCAATTGTGACATGAGTCATTCCCATGATGGGATCGGATGTGTATGTTTTGAGCAGCTAAACCACTGAAAGGGATTTTCCCTAGGGGTGTGCCCTGCTTCCAATATATTTAGGACATCCTGGGAAAAGAGACACTCTTCTGTAGTTTGGGATCCTGTTGTACTGCCTACAACTGTTCATGAGCAAACAATCCACAGATCTTGGATTCGTCATTCCAATTTTACCAGGGAGTAATCTTATAGACAATCTTACCAGTGTCTGTTATTGTACCAGTACCAGGCTGTTTTGACTACTGTGGCTGAATAGTAGGTTTTGAGATCTGGCAGTGTGAGACCTCCTACTTTGTTCTTCTTCAATAATGCTTTGCTTATCCGAGGTCTCTTTCTTTTCCATATAAAGTTAGTGATTGGTTTTTCCATATCCTTAAAAGAATGTTGATGGGATCTGGATTGGGATTTTATTGAATGTATAGATTGCTTTGGGTAGAACTGACATTTTCACAACGTTCACTCTTCCCATCCACAAAGCATGGTATGTTCTTCCATTTATATACTCTTAACAGTTTCCTGAAGTAACCTTTTGTAGTTTTCTTTGTACAGGTCTTTTGTGTCCCTGGTAATACTGGAGTCAACAGCTGGTATACTGCCTGCCAACCTTGAGTTCATCAGCCCCTGCAGCTGCATGAGTCAGGAAAAGCCTCCAGCTTGACGTTTAATCCAAGAACTTGGGACTTGCCAGCTTCTATAAGTGTGTGAGCCATTTTCCTAAGATACATTTTTCTTTCTCTATATGTATATATAAGCTTTACTGTTTTGCTTCTCTAGAGAACCCAGCCTAACACAAATGGATAACCAAACTATGGTACATACACACAATGGAATACTATGCAACACTAAAGAATAATGTAGAATCTGCAAAACACCACGTTACATGGATGAACTTGGAGGACATTATGCTAAGTGAAATAAGTCAATCACAGAAGGACAAATGTTGTTATTATAAGAAGTCAAGGAAGGGTTTATCTGTGGAAGGAAATTTTCTTTGTTGGTTGCTAGGGGTGGGAGGGGAGGGAAGGAAACACTGTTAGATAGGTAGAGACAAGTATTGATTTGGGTGAAGAGAAGGGCAATGTACCAAATGTGAGTGATCAACATGGTGGCACTGAGGAAGAGGAAGACAGAGAGAGGTGCATGGGAGGTACAGACAACAAAGATGAACCCTTTTGTACATATAGTACTGTGTTGTCAGTGAAGGCAAACATGGGTATACGGGTGGACAGATGCGTGGACAGGCTGAACTATTAGGTATGTCTATGCAGGGTGTGTGTGTGCCCATGACCGTGTATAGGGTTAGCAGACAATGTTTCTACAAGTGTATTTGTATGTTCTGTAAGAATTTCCAGGTATATAGTAGAGCTGACAAGGGATGAGGTTGTAGTCACTTCTTGGCCACAGCCAGCTACCCAGAGAGACTGAGTAGTTGGACCTGTGGGCTTGGGACAGGGGACATCAAGCTCAATTGGCATAACATACTACAAAACATTGTTCCACATCCTACTTTCTTGAGTAGCGACTAGTATCTTAAAAATTTGCAAAGGGCCATCTAGATGCAAGGAGAGATGGGTCTCTCCTTGTCCAGAGCAAAGAAGAATGAAGAAAACCCAAGATGCATGGAAACACTTAGTCCAAGCGACTGGTACACCATGAGATCCTCAGCCTATATGACTGTGAGACCAGAACAACTAGATGGTGCCCAGCTACCACTGTCAACCACTCGGAGGGGGATCTATGTAGGAGATCCTGGACAGACTGGGAGAACAATGTGGAACAGAACTCAAAATCATTAAAAAAAAAAAAGAAAAGAAGAAGAAGAAGAAGAAAGGAAATAGGTTTGTTGGTTTGATAGAGCCTGGTGGAACCTATGGCTCCTAGCTGCCCTTCAGGTCTGGAATTGAACCCACTCCTGTGGCTTCCAGCCAAACAAAAGACAGGCATATGAGGTGAACATTTATGTTAGGTAGATACACTCCTTGGGCTGTGTACGCACAGGGAGACAACTGGGGGCGGGACAGGAGTGCATGAGAGGCAAGGACACAGGGAAGATGTAACTATGGGGAGGAAGTGGGAAGGGAACTATTGCATTGTGGGAAATTGCAGTTAACGTCATGAGACAAAGTGTACATGAGCCGCTGTACGGAAAGTAAATTTGCTCTGTAAACTTTCACCCAAATCACAGTAAAAATTAAAAAAAAACAAAAAAAAATTGTTGTCGAGTTGATCCTGACACATAGCACTCCCACAGGACAGAGTGAAACTGCCCCAGAGGATTTCCAAGGCTGTCAATCTTCAGGGAAGCAAAGCCCAAGCCACACCCACTGCCCTGGAGTCCATTCTGACCCACAGCGCCCCTAGAAGACAGAGTGGAACTGCCCCACAAGGTCTCCAAGGCTGTCAATCTTCACAGAATAAAAGCCCAAGCCATACCCACTGCTGTGGAGTCGATTCTGACTCACAGCGCCCCTAGAGGACAGAGTGGAACTGCCCACAGGGTCTCCAAGGCTGTCAATCTTCACAGAAGCAAAGTCCAAACCACACCCACTGCCCTGGAGTCCATTCTGACCTACAGCGCCCCTAGAGGACAGAGTGGAACTGCCCATGTGGTTTCCAGGGCTCTCAATCTTCACAGAAGCCAACTGCTTCATCTTTCTCCTGCAGAGCGGCTGGTGGGTTCGTGATGAAAATTCGAACGGTAGAGAAGGGCAGATATTGGTGTGCAAGGAGTCCCTGTGGTTTATGCTGGGTAGTCTTAAGTGTCCCCAGGTGTCCCCTTGCTCCCCCTTTCCCTGCCACCCATGACCCCAGCCCACTGCCATCAGCAAACTCTGCACATTCATATTCTTCCAGCTGTCACAACCAAGTGACTTCCCCATGGCCTGATTCCAATGCTGAAAGTCAGAATGTGTCTGCTGTCAGGACTGTGAACCTGTGGCAGGTGGTGTGTGAGGAATTCTCGTCCTTTCATACTTTGGTCTGTGAGGCGCCCTGCTGGTTCCCCATTCCGGCCTTCCCTCGGCCCACCACGGGCACGTGTGATTTGTGGCTGGGGAGACCTGCCCTCCCAGCGGGAGGGCCCCGTCCTGGTGACTGAGTGCACGGCTTAGACAAACCCAGGAAGTGGGAAGCGCTGATCTCGCCCCGCTTGTTCGGGTCCTTCTCCTTGCATTCCCGCAGGAGCTCGCGCCAGCAGCCTTGCATCCTCCTTCGGAGCCTGTTCTCGATGGGCTCGCAGTTCTGGAGGGGCGGGGTGCTGGGCCGAGTGGCCGGACTAGCTGGAGTCTAGCAGGAAAGGAAAGGAAGTGGGGTTTTAATTTGAGATTCAAAAGGGAAGTCACAATAAAAAATTACAGACGTGACTCAGGTTTTAAGGCTCAAAGTTGTACCAAAATAAGATGAAAAATAAAGCATAGGTAGTAATTTAGGCTCAAGATTTCATAGAAAATGAAAAATAAAGCATAGATGGTAATTTTACAATTTAATTTTTATTTCCACTGGTGGATTATGCTTGTGCCAAATCACGGTCATCTAAATAGTTCTGAATGAAACACACAGTCTGGTTCGCTGCTCTTTAACTGCACTGCTGGTGTGCGTGTGCGTGTGCGTGGGAGGAGAGAGGAGGCGTGGCTTATCTTTCATCACAGGAAGAATCCTGTCAGAGCAAAGGATTGACTTGTCATTCACATGGGCATTCAGTCCTGCAATCACCAGAGATGATTGATTCTGAGTCTGAGATTTTTCATCACGTGGACTGTGTGTGAGGTTGTTCTCCACTCCACTGTATTTTCCACTTAAAAGCAGGGGAGCGAATTTAATGTCACCCAGACTTGTCCACTGAACTAGAATGCCAGGCCCAGATACGCGATGGCCTCCTTGACCCACAGCTGCTAATGAACCCAATTGAATTCCGGTATTTCTCCCAAATCCAGCACCACCTGGGCCTTTCCCATTCCTGTTGATAACTCCCTTCTTCCAGCTGTTTGACCCCGAAACTTGGAAGTCATCCTTGACCCTCCTATCTCCCTCTGAAGCCCACGGCCAGTCCATCGGTCCGTCAGGCAGTCCTGCCAGCTCCACTCTGAAGATGCCCGGGATCTGGCCACTCCCAGTGCAGTGCTGCAGACTCACCTGATCACTGCTGGGGCCTGGCCCCTGCCCCCGTCTGCGGCCCATCCCCACTGCACCCCACTGCACCCCCCAGACTCCCTCCCACACAGCAACTGGGGTCGTTGCTGTTGCTGGTTGTCCTTGAGTTGGCCGTGAGTCATGGGACTCCACGGTCTGCTCAAGTCCATGGTTGCGGCCACTGTGTGCTCTGAGTGCTTCCCCACCGCGGTGGCCCATCTCCCAGCACTGCGTTGGACATGTTCTGCTGTGAGCCAGGGGGCTTCCATAGTCCCTTCTCCCTTGTGAGCCTGCTGGCATTTGAAATACTGTTGCCACAGCTTCTAGCATCGTGGCAACACGAAAGCCACCACAGTACAAAAAACTGAAAGCTGGGTAAACCAAAACCCAGCGCTGTCGAGTACATTCCAACCCTTAGGGACACTGTGGCACAGGGCAGCACTGGCCCACAGGGTTTTATGGACACAGACAGCCACATCTTTCTCCCACAGAGTGGCTGGTCGGCTTGAACTGCCAACCTCTCAGACAGCAGCCAAGTGCCTAACCACTGTGTCACCAGAACAGACAGGTAGTCTCTGTAAAAAGCATGCCCCTCACCTCACTCCTAAATGTAAAAACCTACAAGGGCCCCCATCTGCTCAGAGCAGAAGCCGAGGTCCGTGTGGTGGCCTCATGGCCGCAGAAGTCTCCCCTGCTATGTCACAAGTGACCAAGCTTAGTGGCTCAGAGAAACACAAACAGAGTCCCAACTGGGTCCCACTGGGCTAAACTGATGTACCGGCAAGACAGACGTCCTTCTGGAGCCCCCAGGGAGCATCCGTTCTGTCGTTTGCTCCAGGTGCCAGAGGCCGCCCACGTTCCTCGGCTCGCGGCCTCCTCTCCCATCTTCGGAGCCGGCAGTGGCAGGTCAGGTCCTTCCCCGGGTGCCTCGCGGCCTCCTCTCCCATCTTCGGAGCCGGCAGTGGCAGGTCAAGTCCTTCCCCGGGTGCCTCGCGGCCTCCTCTCCCATCTTCGGAGCCGGCAGTGGCAGGTCAGGTCCTTCCCCGGGTGCCTCGCGGCCTCCTCTCCCATCTTCGGAGCCGGCAGTGGCAGGTCACGTCCTTCCCCGGGTGCCTCGCTCTCACTGAGCCTTCTGCCTCCTCTGTCCCTGTCTGAGCACCTTGTGATTCCTCTGGGCCCACCTCAAGGTCACCCGGGGAGCAGCCTTAACCCCATCTACCACCTTAGCCCCTCCTCACCAGGAAAGGTACCACATTCATGGGTTGGGGGAATGAGGACCTGGACGTCTTTGGTGGGCTGCTGACCCCCCTCACCTGCCCTATTACCCCTTGTCACTTCCTGACTCCTTAGTGTGTTCAGTGTCTGTTGCCTGCAGTCAGGGATTGGACTGTGTGCCCCTAAACTGTGTGCCAACCTGGCCAGGCTCCTCAGGGGTTTGGCAGTTATGTGATGATGTAATCATCCCCATGCTGTGGTCTGATGTGCTCAGCCCATCAGTTATAAGGGGACTAGGTGGGATGCAAGCCCCTTCGCAGGTCACAACCCTGATCTACTGTCAGGGCGGTTTCCCTGGGGTGTGGCCTGCATTGAATTTTATATACAAGAGATCAAAGGAGAGAGAGGCAAGCACAGAGGAGGGACCTGACTACCTCCAGGAAAGACGAGCCAGGAGTGGGGAGTGGCCTCTGGACCCAGGGCCCCTGTGCTGAGAACCTCCTGGACCAGGGGAGACTGATGCCAAGACGCACGGGGAGCTCCAAGAAGAGCCGGGCCCACAGAGGCTGACAGGAGACACGGCCCCTCCCCCAGAGCCAACAGAGAGAAAGCCTCCGCTAGAGCGGGTACCCTGACTTTGGACTTCCAACCTCCCAAACCATGGGAGAGTAAACACCTGTTTGCTAAAGCCACCCACCTGTGGTTTTCTGTGATAGCAGCACCAGGGAACTAAGACACCTGCCACCCCCACCGGAACATAAACTCCACAAGGACAGGGACCTCTGAAAGTGCCCAGCACGTACACAGTGTGTCCTGGCTGACAGACTGCACGGTGACTGTTGTCTGTGCAGTGGCTGCCTTACAGCGTGGTGCTGAATTCCCTTTTCTCTGGAGACACGATCACCGCCCCCTCACAGATGAGGAAAGGGCCAGGAGCCCCCTCGTCCATCCCAGGCCAGGTCAGGGCTGTGCAGGGAGAGGCCGCTCCGTGAGCCGGGCTGGAAGGGCAGGGCTTCCCCACGCCTAACTGAGCCCGACAGGACGCCTCTCCGGCCGGACGGGCAGGATGCTTGGCATGCAGCGTTCCCCACGGAGGCCGGCTTCCAGCGCTGCTCCCGCTCGGTCTTCTGTGGCCTCAACCTGTTCTTCTTGTGCCTTGGACCCTTTCTGCTCCTCCCTTTCTATCCTTCACTCCGCCCTCCGACTTTGCACAGCCCCTTTCCTTGAACGTGGAGGTCTTGGGTGGTGCAAACAGCACGCTTGGCCGCTCACCACAAGGGGCAGCCTGAGGTCGGAGACCACCCAGAGGGGCCTCGGAGGACAGGCCTGGCTACGAGTTCTGACAGATCAGCCACTGAAAACACAGTCCTGCTCGGACACATGTGCAGGCGTCCCAAGTCAGCTCCTCAGGGTGACCGCCTGCCCCTCCCAGGGAAGTGAATGCGGACGACCGGCCAGTGGCCCCTCTCCCGTGCGCCCTGCCTGGCACCCTGCAGACGCCCTGGGCCCACCCGGAAGCACCCTGGCCTGGCAGCCCGTGATACCCAACCCCACAGGGTACTCACACTGGGGTGACTCCATGTCTTTGGCCCTCCCTTCAGGTCCTGCAGGGGCGATAACAGAGCAGACCTGGTCCTTTCTGTGAGTTCGGGGGCGCTGCTGCCTCTCTGGGCCCTGGCCGAGTCGCCCGAGGCTGGTGTCACCGCCTTGTCCGAGCTGAACTTGCTCAGGAAGTCCTGGTATTTCAGCTTTCCCTTGGCAGTGACGGGCATCTCGTTCCACAGCTTGTCAAACTGGCAAGGAAGAAGTCAAGCGTCAGCATGGGAACCTGGGCCCGGGTAGTGGACACGGTTAAGCATATGACTACAAGCCGAAAGGCTGGCAGTTCAAACCCACCCAGGGGTGGCTCCAGAGACAGCCCTGGTGACCTGCTTCCGAAAGACCACACACTCTTGAAACCCCTGTGGAGCACTTCTACCCTGCACATGGGGGTCGCCCTGAGTGGGAACGGGCTGGGCAGCACCCAACCACAGCAGCGTAAGAACCAAGCAGACCCTCCCCCGTGAAGGACGAGTGGGGCGGGCAGCAGTGCCAGGCCTGGGCCTACGGGACTGGTGGGTGTCCCGAGTCAATAAAAAAGAGTGCAGAACAGAACCCCTCGGCCTCTGCTCACTCACTCGGCCGTGGAAGCTTCTGGAAGGCCGGGAAGCCAAACAGGAAAGGACCATTCACGACCCCGAGGATGTCTCTTCACTGAATTGGGCCCTCGGTGAGCAGTTGAAGGCCCTTAACCCTTGCAATTAGTCACAGAGACGGAGCTACAGTGCACGCGAACGTTTTAGGAGAAAATGAAAATCAAACAAACCCCTGGCCCGTTGGTCCCAGGGCTGACCCTGCCCCGGTGGACCTCCTCCTGGGTGCCCTGGCTCTGGGGACAGCAGCTCTGAGCTTGCATCCACAGTTCATCTCACCCTAAGGGCTGACAACGACTTCCCACAAGAATAGTGAGGCGTTTGGGAAACTGGAGAATTTTATGGCTTTGCGTTGTCACCGTCTGATGCCACTGCCTGTATTGAAGCCACACGCAGCACTGACAACAGAACGACTCAGTGCACCCCAAATGAGCCACTTTTGATGACTTTGGGGGAGGCAGGAAAGAAGGGGAACTTGTTTCCAATTTGATCCTGTATAACCCCTAAAGCCCGAAGGAGCCCAGCCTTTGGCACGCGCCTGCAAGAGTGGCCACCCTCCAGAGGCCAGGGAAGGATCGACATCCCCGTCCTCCTCTGTTCTCTCTGGGGCTTCCACCTTGCAAGCCAGGGCTCCGCCAGAGACCTCACTTGCTTCTGGGGTTTTAAAAAGCAAATTAAAAGTGATTGTGCCCATGCCTATGTGGGGTCCCTGACATGAAGTGTTGAGAGGTGAAGATGATGGAGAATGTTCCAGGCTTTGAAAGAGCAAAGAGGTTTTGTTTGGGATGATACTGTTTGCTCATTATTATTTTTATTATTACTCTTTATTTGGGAATGCTTATGGATTCCCAGGCAGTTGCCAAGGGTAGTACAGAGAGGCCCCACCCCTCCCTGCCTCCCCGCCAGCCGTCCTCCAGGTCGTAGCTGAGGTGGTTACAGCTCTACTCGTGAGCCACCAAGTGGACTCGGACTCAGGGCGGCTCCGTGTTACGGGGAACTGCCCGACGGGGCTCCCCAGGCTGTGATCTTCATGGAAGCAGGTCACCAGGCCTTTTCCTGTGGAGCTGCGGGTGGCTTTGAACCACCAACCTTTCAGTTAGCAGCTGAGCACTGAACCCTTTGCACCACCAGCATTCCTCAATATAGTACAACGTCACGGATCGGGAAGTTGATATTGGCGCAAAGTGTGTGTCTAGTTCCATGTCATTTTCATCACACGTGTAGATTCATGTTGGATTTGATTTTGGTCACTGAGAAACAACTGGTGCAGGAGAAGTTAGGGGCCCTTGAGAGAAAGCAACCCCGTCACCCTGGGCCTCACAAACACCAGATACCACAACTGGCACTGACAGGACTCGGCCCTGGCTCCTCTGCAGGGAACATCTGTCCTCACTGGGAAGCTCCCCGGTGGGTCCTCTCAGTCACCTCAGGCATGAATGAGAAGCTGGGTCTGACCCCATGGAGGATCCTTTCAGGGAACATTCTGCACGGGCAGGAAAGGAGGTGCTAAGCAATATTCTGATCACATTGGTCGGGAAGGACTTTACAAAGAAGGAGAAGATGAGGCTGCAAAAGAACCCTGCTCCTGGGGACATCAAGCTCAATTGGCATAACATACTATACAAAACATTGTTCCACCTCCTACTTTGGCGAGTAGCGACTGGGATCTTAAAAGCTAGCAAGCT